ATGTGTATAGACATATATATATATATATATGAAGCTGTATGGCATCAAACCGCTGAGCAAAGATGTGGCAACGCAGGGCATGACTCAAGGCTCCACCCCTCAAGCCGTTGTTGGGTTTAGGCTGAAGGATGTGTGGCTGCGAATTTTCTACGTTATAAAGCTGCGGAGGAGCCCGAATCAGTTCTGCGTGGTTTGAACTCCATGGTTGGGCTCTCGCGCGCAGTGGGCGATGTCGAAACCGATAATGACCTATAGTTTGGAAAGCATCGTTCTCTGTAATTAGGACACTTACCAGAAAAAAGGAACAGGATCATGATTCAAGGTGCCATTGGCCGTTGTGGAGTTTTGAAGCAGGGCCCTATGCCTAGAAGAAGACTGCAGTCTCATGCAATGTCTTAGCCTACTAGTAGATGCAAGCCCAAAGCCCAGAAACGATTTCGAAGTAGCACATGAAGCGGTCCGTGGGCCTTTCCAGGCGTGGGTGGCGCCTGCCAACACACATTATGAGGTCTGCCCTCGCGGAGTTCTCTCAAAGTGGGTGTGGGAATCGAGAGATGCATGTTCAATAGCTTAGTTCCTGTTCATGGGCGTGGAACACCCGGCAAGGCATTTAGCGCGGTGACTCTCTGAATGCTCATGCTGCATGGTGAACCTAGCACGACAGTGCTGTGTAGACTATGAAGAGATTCTGGCCCTTCCCCGCCTCCGGACTAGGCATTGCAGCATCCGCAGCCTGTTGAAACAGTTCAGTCAAATGAGAAGCTACCACGAACGCGGGCACAACCGTGGCGATTCATACAAGCAGACAGAAAGCCCGCCCACAAAACGAAGTCTCCAGTCGACAGAAAATGGCTGAGCTCGAAGCAGGATCGGCGGTCTCTTTGCCTGACATGTCGGGACGGTATATTCTCTATCCTCAACCTAGGTCAGCTGTTCACACCAAAATGCTGAAAAAGCGAAGTCCAAGGTAATAGAGGTAGCCGCTTCAGCTCCCGGACTTTACGCGGTCGCTACACTCGCCCGCTTAGATCGACAACTCGCCAAGCTTTACCCTGCCTTGCGGCATTGCACCCTGCAGCCGGAGCAAAAACTAACGAACATGCGGGAACGTAACTATCCTTTCCCAAAAGGTCCAAGTACTAGTATAGTATAGTATATACTTTTGGGGCCCAAATACCTACTAAGTACCTACTATACTGGTACTTGGACCCTTTGGGCTTTGCAAACTGGCGCCGGCTTTGCCCAGGTCTTCGAAGGAAAGGAAGACCTTGATCAAGCAACAGCAGCAAGGCTGCTGACGGCTATGATCCGGTCTAAATGGGCGTTTCCGAGAATAGGGGACCCTCATATAGTACCCTAAATAGTAGGATCCTTATTATAAAGATCCCCAGATAAGGTACCGTAATTTTCGGAAACTCCCATGTCTGTCTGCAAACCACAAACCCTGATGCTGATGCGGCTAATGTGTTTGTCCGGATCTGCATGATGCTGACCATTATCCAGCTGCCCTTGCAATGCCCCCAAGCCGAACACCCACAAAACAAACATACTCTCACATACTGCGTGCACAACAAGAAACAACAAAGCCTGGGCCACACACCGGTGCTGCAGGTTGTTGCATGGCTATTGTGAAGGTTTGTCTAGTTTTCATAAGGATATACTCTCGCTCTCTCATTAGGTACACATATACATACCTACATACACCTAAGCTCAAACATTAATACGATGTATCTGCGTATCATATGCGCGTTATGGCCCGTTTCTGTGGCTTTCGCTTCTCGGATTTCTTTTCCCATACCTAGAGTCTCCATTGTAGTTCCTTTTTGGGGATACCTTATAATATCCTTATTCTATTATTGGTAAAACCCAAAAAAAGGAACTATAATGGAGACTATAGGTGGTTATTTCTTCTTGAACTCTAAACTCTAAACCCTAAACCCTTATAGTAACCCTCATAGTAACCCTTATAGTAGTAGCCCCATTTAGAGACTATGGGTAGAAACCTTCAGCAAACCCTAAACCCTAAACCCTAAACTCTAAACCCTAAATAGGTCGGCCCCCAATGGAGCCAAGAAACACCAGAAGCTGCTCCACCCGGTGCGGGATCGCCTCGGGCCCATCAACGAGCACTTTTGCTTCCATGAGCTCTTCCCCAAAGGGTTTAGGGTTTAGGGTTTAGGGTTTAGGGTCTAAGTACTAATATGGTAGATACCTTGTGGCCCAAAATACCTACTAGATGGATACTTAGACCCTTTGGGTTTGCTTCCATGAGCTCTTCAACGGCCTCTATTTATAAGGTTCTTTCGGCGTTGTTTCTCCTAGTGATCCAGACACACTATTGAACCACAGTAGCTGTGCCACTGCCACATGCTCCGAGCAGGAACTCGCTCAACAGGAAGTTGAACTGCAAACATCTGACGGTCCGAGACGTCCACGGAGGAAATCGCGCTCTCCCAGGGCTTCCTGGAAGCTAATCTCGGCTACTGCGCACGTCTTCCGGAAGACTTGTCGTGAACCGAACAAAACCTACTTGGAGGATCATGGGACTTAGTAAATAAGGTTATAAGGCCCTTAATTGGGGTTATAAGTATAGTTGCCATAAATATAACCCTACTTACTAAGTCCCATGATCCTTTAAGTATGGGCAACGAGTGTCGACCTGGATTGGTGGCGGAGGTGACTCTTTGTTCTAGGATCCAAATGTCTTGGGTGCCGTTGCCGCTAGGAAGGCATGCAACGTCAAATTCAAACAGACTGATGATACTCTGCACGCACTCATCGTGCTGCAGAGTCTGGATGTGATCCGTTTAGTGAAGGCCGCCAGCAAGAAGTCGACTGTTACATCTCTCAAGGTTTATGTTTGTCATGGGGCCGCACCTCGGCCGCACCCTCCTCAGCGATGTCAATCCACACGTCGCCGAGAAGTCGGCCCTTGCGACAGGGATACTGCACTCGTTTGGTGTGTGTTGTATCCATGCACCGTCAGCAAAGCAAGGGTTGAGGGTGGAGGTGTTTTTGATCAGCCATTCTCGACAGAACAACGACCCAGCACAGCGCCTTCTTGCCATCGGCCGACACATCCTGTGCACTGAGACCCTGACTCAAACCCTGTACGGTATTGTGCCACGCAAGGCAGCAAAGCAACTCAGCACGATTGAATAAGCGACGGTCTCTATTCAGAGTCTGTATGCCCGGAAGCCCCCGCAGCAACTTTGCGGACGAGCCAATTGTAGGACCACCCATCGGAAAAGGCGACTTTCACCACTAGGTCGCCACAACTGTACGGCATGCGTGGAGGTGTAGACATGCCACATAGGTATATTGCATACATACATACATACATACATACATACATACCCTAAACCCTAAACCTATATATATATATATGTGTGTGTGTGTGTGTATGTATTGTATATATATATATATATATATAGATATGCATATATATATATAGATAGATAGATAGCGTTGAAATTGGTAGCAGCGCTCCTTGGAAGCTTTGGAGGCGTCCGCCTTCGCTTCCTCGACCGCTTTGGTCGCAGCGGAGCCCCCTTGGGAGCCACCAGCTTTGCCCTGACACAAGGCAAACTAACCCAAAGGGTCTAAGTACTAATATGGTAGATACTTTGGGGCCCAAAATACCTACTATATGGGTACTTAGACCCTTTGGGTAACCGCCCAGGTGCTCTAGTACCCTAACTATATAGTAGGTACCTAACCTGACACAACGCAAAGTAACCTCCCAGGTGCCTACTATAAAGGGCCCTAGGGGCTCTAGTACCCTATATAGTAGGTGCCTAACCTGACACAACGCAAAGTAACCTCCCAGGTGCCTACTATATAGGGCCCTAGGGGCCCCAGTACCCATATAGTAGGTGCCTAACCTGACACAACGCAAACTCACCTCCCAGGTGCCTACTACATAGGGCCCTAGGGGCTCTAGCACCCTATATAGTAGGTACCTGGGGGGTTAGGGGCAGATATTTGTCGAGTTTAGGGGGGATTCGGATTTCGGACTTGGTGTGCGGAGGGTTAGGGGCTCAGGGCCTGGAAGAACTAGGGTCTAGAGGGATCGGGGAACTAGGGCTTGGGATCCAGAGATGTTTTAAAGTTTAGGGGTTAGGGTTTCATTTGGTGGTTGTCAAACTTAGGGTCCCTTTTTGGGTCCTTATTATAGTACGGCACCTATTATTTAGGGTACCTCAACAGGGACCATAATTTTGACAACTACCCATTTGGGGCAGCAGTCCCACATCCTGACAAGTCAGGCCAGGATGCAGGACGGCTGGTCCACGTCAAGGGTTCTAGGGCAGAGAGGCTGCATTCGTGGAGTATCCAACCGTGGTGATTGGTAAGGCGGTGCTGATATCGCTGAGCCCGAAACTTGCCCGAAGCTTAAAAATGGGAAACGCCTCAACGAACGTCGAGCTAGAGCTCTCTACTCACTTCCTGTTCCAAAAGTACCGTTGCCTTGGCATCAGAAGAGGAAGCAGGACTCTCCTGCCACGGTTTCGGAGAGCTCTCAGGCAAAATGGAAAGTTTGCTTTAAACTAACACGTCTTGAGGCTCAACAAGAGTAGTGTAATTAAGCTCCTCTGCAGCGTACCAGCTGAACTCTCCCAACGCCCAGGCTGAAAAGTTAGGCTAGGCTCCATAGGCGAGTGCTCTTTGCAGCTGCGGTGCCAGCAAGTGAAGGAGGGAAGTGGAAAGAATGCAAGTGAGTTGACGCGCGTCCTTCACATCGAAGGGGCATCTACCTCCTCCAACAGAGCCTTGGCACCAGGAGTTTGCACTGCGTGGCTTCTGTCTCTGGGTGTGTGTGTGTGTGTGTGGTGTCAGTTGGCAGCGTATCTTGTCAAATCCGTGCCCGATCCAAAATGTCAAATGCATATTCGAAAGCTTTCATTCACACTCGAGTTTGAGACCCTCAAACTTCAACTCACGGACTTGAAACCGGAACCTCGAAACCCGAAACTGACAAAGCATGGCAAAGGTCTAAGACGCCGGCCGAGCAATAGGCCTCACGTGTTCTTGCATCTCACGCAGCAACTGAAGAAGGCAGACTAGATTGGCTGGCTTCACGCTTCTGATTTCGCCTCAGTTTAAACTAGGTCATCTCACCCGCACGAAGACGGGAGCAATCGGGAAGCAGGGTAAAATCGGCACTGCGTCGTGTCTTGACTGATAGGTGCCCCTGAACCCCAAGCCCCCAAAGGGTCTAAGTACGAATATGGTAGATACTTTGGGGCCCAAAATACCTACTATATGGGTACTTAGACCCTTTGGGGCCCCTAAAATAAAAAGCCATGAACAATCATCCCAACACGTCTGGTGCCCACGAGCCTAGAGCCCGAGTGGTCTCAGCGTCCTCCTTGATGTAGATGCGTCCTTGGCATGCCAAGTTATGAAACGCAAGTTGAGCTTTCAACTTAAGCTTAAACTTCAAGCTTCATAGCCAACCTTATGGCAACTATGAACCCCAAATCCTAAACCCTATAATGGTCACTGCTAGATATTGTTACTACCTATAGTCTCCATTGTAGTTCCTTTTTTTGGTTTAACCAAATATATAATAAGGATTTCGTAAGGTATCCCCAAAAAGGAACTACAATGGAGACTGTAGGTAGTAATAAGGCTGTGGAACGATCCTCCGAGCCCCAGGCGGCCACGTGGTCTGGCCCCGGGCCTGACTCATTCGGCACGACAGCGCGCGTCTTTCTTTCTTACCCAAAGGGTCTAAGTACTAATATGGTACATACTTTGGGGGCCAAAATACCTACTATATGGGTACTTAGACTCTTTGGGTTATCAAGTCTGAGTGTTTGGGCCTGAGATGCAAATCAAAATTGATATGTGGTGCTCTGATGTCATAAGGTCCTCCGCAATCGTTTCGACGGGCTGCCAGTCGGTACATTGGGTAGTTGTTCGCCATACTGGTCGTCCAAGAAGTCCGGTACCAATCATAGTAAGCAAAACGAGGAACCACGGAGGTTGAGGGAAGAGACCGCCGACAGACATGTGCAAAGAGGGGGACTAGTCTGGTGTCCATCGATCCGATTGGTTCAACCGCTTTAGCACCCTGGCTACCAGCAGCACGAGTAAAGTAGGGTTTCGAAGAAGCATATAGAGCAACATCGAGGCTGCAGCAGACAACCTGACTGCCTACGTCTGCCTGAAACCCCTTCGAGGGATAAGTAATTTAGGGGCCTTTAAATCTATAGTACAATATGCCCCAAAGCCAAAACCCCATTCTAATTATGAAGGCCCCTATATATCAGTCGTGTCTTGAACTTCAGGATCCTGGGGAGCTGGCTTTGCGGAGTCTTTTCTGTCCTTTCCCTGCTCTTTGCCTGACAGGTTCAGAACGAAAGGAAAGAGAAAGACCACCGATGTCAATAGCAAACAGGTATCTCCGAATGTGGCTTCAAGGGCTGCTGTCGGTAAAGCACTGTGCCCAAAAGCCAAAAGCTCCATAGGGGGGAGCATGTTGTGCACCTGCCGCATCGTCATCCACCTCGAACGCAGTAGACCTCTGCCGAGCTTTGGTCAGTCGAATCTGACACAGCAGCATTTCTATGCTGAATGCTAGGGAATACCTGGACGCAGCTAGTTGATGCAGACGGTGCGATCCTGCGACGATACCAAAAAGCTTTGTCCATCTTCCATGCGAGGATATCATGGCTTCTGGTCTAACTGTTACGAACTGAGCTGCACAGACCCTAGGATCCCGCTACATCCTGTGATTGGTGCCGCTTTCAGCTCCCAGCACGGCTTGCCGGAGGGTGTTGACCTCAGTGTGCAGCCAAGGATCTGCAACGGTCGGAGCCGGATCTAAACCCGAAAGTCACAACACGTCGAACCCCATGCCGCCTCCAAACCGAAAACGACAAACGCCGAATCAAAGTCTCAAAGTCTAGGATTCGATGCTCGGCATCAGGCGTGCTGCAGATCGCTGAGGGTCAGCTTCTGCCGGCCCGTGATCGGCAACACCCATCGTGACTCCTTCTCGGCCAAGCGTCTCTACGTTTTGAAGTTTTGAGGAAGAACTGCAGTGTTCCAAAGTATTCTTAAACCCTGATTTCCCCGGACATGTACGGTAGTTCGAGGGAATCTGAGTGGTTGAGGGCTCGGGCACTTCATGGTTGCGACATTTCGCCGCACGGGTCGCTCGGGGACTGAAGGCACATGGGTAGAGGCAGAAAAGTGCCTTCCCGACCCAACCGAAGCCAGAACATCGGAAGACAGTCTGTATCACTCTGTTTATGAACCTGAGGTTCCAAGCCACATGCTGCTTCGGATTCTTACACGATGCTTCAGCCAAAACCCGAAGGGGTGCTTCCCTTGGTGCCAGACTTTCCAGAACGGATCGCCCCTCCTCCTCCCCAACAACCTCCTCAATGGCAGTCAAAACCCAGAGAGCCTCCTTGCGCCTGTCGTCGTAATCATAAAATAATAAGCAATAGACATAGCATACATAGCCTAAGCAAGCCAGCTGTTGAGTTCTCAAGTCCTCAGAGCGCCCGAAGAGAGAGATGGCCCGGACCTCTCCACATGACGGACTTTCCTTAAGGCGCCTAGTTCAATGGGACACTCTTCTGCGTGAGACGGAGTGCAAGGCTTACATCTCTGCTTCCTGACTTCGAAACATGCGTCAGAAAATCACGAATCGTTGTTGCTTCAGGGATGTTCAGGGTCGTGGGATTAGTTCTCAAACAGCAGTCACGCGCACTAAACGCTAGAAGTGATGCGAGCAATCGAGATAATCAAGGCCATGTTTGGTGGGTGTTTGCGGCTTGCAGTGGTGAACAACAAATACTACGGGATAAGCATTAAGCATTCAACTGTAAACTTGTTGGACTCTGCATCTCCTGGCAGTATCCTAGGATTAATCTATTTCTCTCTTTTGCTCTCACGCAGACTCGGGTTCGTCGGTCTAAGACGCGAGCTATGTGGAAGCAATCGCCAAGGGGTTTTGCTTCTCTGGTCCAGTGCAGATGTCCGACACGTGAGAGTCTCACTCTGGATGTGAAGTTAGGGCTGGACTGGACAACGAACCACCGCACCTGCAGCGAGTCGAGGTCGCAAAGTGCGGAGCAGCCTCCAGAGAAGATGCCACCGCCTGGGGGTGGTGAGAACATGCAGGCTGCTGGCAACACCTGTCACAACCAACACGAATGGAGAAATACTTTGACATCATCGCGGCTGGCGAGCAGTGCATTGCTCTATGGTCAAGAAAGTCCAAATGGAGGCAGACATGCAAATCAGGAGAGACAGAGAGAGAAAACAAATTCGTAACAGCGATTGGACCTCAAAGGACGACGATTAAGCTTCTGGTGACTGGCGTCGACGATGGTGAGGACTGTGCGCAAGTCTTGTGTCAGAACATGGAATTCCCAATATGCTATCCTCACCCACGTGCACGCCAAACACCTATAGACGCTAAGTGTCCCCAACTCCCTTGAATCCATGGCCGGGACATGTCCGAGGGCGGAAAAAGGCCAACAGCAGCAACACCTTAGCTCTCGCTCGCGAAGTCGTGGGCTGTGTTGGGGATGGCAGAACCTAATGACGCAATGCTTAAAAAAGCGCACCCTTTCTCCGAGAAACACAACTCATGGGCCACGCGGGTTTACGAACTGTCGGAAGTGGATCACTGGTCAACGCCTGAGATTCAGGACACACCTTCTACCTGATGCTCTCAGTCACGTCTGGGAAACCGATGGCCAGCAACTCGACAGCTCGAGATGTTGTTGTTTCATACATGACTGGCTACTTGGAGGATCATGGGACTTAGTAAGTAAGGTTATAAGTCCCTTAATTGGGGTTATACGTATAGTTACCCACTAAGTCTCATGATCCTTTAAGTAGACTAGGCACTCTCTTGACTTCAGCACAGGCATGGATAGCTCTCCCTCCCCGTGTCAGCACCTCCAGTTTTGCCCTGTGGCACGCGGACTCCTCGCGAAGATACATCCCTTTCAGATGTGCTCTGCTGATTCTCAGCGGAGCCGTGCAAGCTGCTTAAGGTTTTGGCAGCCTGCAATCATGTGTCAACTGCGTGCTGCTCGTAGTCGAGGCACATGTCCACAACCCAGACTCCAGCAGCAGAGATGTGAGATGTATCCTGCATCACTACCACCTATATAGAGCCCGGAGCTCAATTTTCCAAAGAAGTGGGCGGCGCCCAACAGCTGGTCTCACCCAAAGTTTCTGCAGACTAAGGCAGCTCGAGACTGTGGGAAGTTCCCTGCGAGGAATTCGGTGATGACATTAAAGGCGCTCATGAGCAAGACGTACAACCGACGCTACTTTATGACCTCGGCAATTGAGCATAATTATTCCGGAGCCTCTGTGTGTCAGCTGATTTCTCTCGCCAGAACATGCAAGACTCAATGGTAGGCGGCCACTGGAAGACACAAGCGACACAAACCCATGGTGCCCCTGCGACATGTTAGAGCGCACGAGAACGTGAGTCAGGCCAAATGGGGACTCCTTCTCAAAACTTGTTTGGCTATCCGGCTTTTGAGGTCGAACTATGAAGTCGGGCTGCGGCGGTAACTAGGGCAATGTAGGCCTGGCAGAGCAACAAGCTTTGCAACTGCAACACTTCCTACGACAGAGAGCTCCCTATGCAGTAAGAAGCCAAGGTTCAGAGTTCCAAAATACATGTAACCGTAAGACCATCTGCTGCATCGGGTTCTTCCAGGCCAAAAAACCCTATACATTTCCACTTGCCTGAAGTCGAAGTGCTACAACAGGTATCCAAAAACAGAAACCTCAATATGCAGTCACCAAAACCCACATTTTAAAGAAAGCCTTGCTAGTGTAGGAGGAGTGCCCAGTTGCCCTTGGCAAGATAGGCCCGGCCCGGTGCTCAGGCAAGAAAAGCTTGTGCGTCTAGACATGTCTCCCTTTGGGTCTGCGACTAGCGTGTTTCAGGCTTGAGGGTGTATGAGGGTTTGGAGTTCAGTGGCCTCCACAGTTCGCGGGGTTCAGGGTTCTTAGGCCTTTAAGGCGGCTGAGCACACCCAGACTGTGCTTTTGGACCGTTCAGGGCGGCATCCCAGTGGGAGACGGAAAATGCCTCGCCGACGTCACAGGAACGATCGCTGAGCCACTGCCGTAATCTGCCGTAAACCCCAAACCCAAAACCCTGAACCCAAAACCAAAAACCCTAAACCCTAAACCCAAACCGTAAATCCAAAACCCTAAACCAACAACCGTAAACCCAAAACCCTAAACCCTAAACCGAGTTCGACTCTGGGGTCCCTGTCAACCCGAAGTTCCACAGGATCTTCCAAGACCTGGAAACTGGAAGCTTTGAAGTTCGAAGACCTACCAGTAATGTAGGGGAAAATTTAGTATTCATATTGGAATTAGTCAAAACTTAAATAAAATACAAAAAGTGGGCCTCAATGATTAGAATAGGGTTTGGGGGGTAGATTATACTTTGATTCGATTAAGGACCCCCCAAAAAAACTAATAATAGTATTGGCAATTAGTTAGGCCCCTACATCAGCCCTGTTGAAAGAGTTCTTGAGTCCTATGAAGCCCCGGGCCCGAACTAGGGATCCTGACACTAAGCTCCACACAAGTAGTCGCAGACAAGGCCCCAACCCCACCACTTACTAGCTATGCTTTGAAAGAAGCGGGCTCCCAGCCGGAGACCTGCCCTACAAACGCCGCAGGATGGTCCAGGGTTGTTTTTTGCAGGCTACCCAAAGGGTCTAAGTACCCATATAGTAATTAGGTATTTTGGGCCCCAAAGTATCTACCATATTAGTACTTAGACCCTTAGGGCTACACACCTTACCCTTAAGGCGCCTATAAATCCTTGCAAACCCTAAGAATTACCAAGGTGTATGCGGAGGCTCTACGTGTGAGGAATCTACTCCCGAACCCGGAGGCGATCAAACACAGACCGAGAGGTAAAGGTAGAGGTAGAATCGCTACATGTGGGCTCCTCCCCATTAGTACGACAACGTTGTCCTGATTCTCAGAAGCTTTGACTCTTCGTAGGGCATGGCTCAGATACCCAAATATACCAGCGTAGAGCCTTGTTGCAAGGGAAGCTGGTTGCACGAATTGCGCCGCACATCGGATATTGCGGAAAGGAACGCGAACTTCATCCCCCAGGCTCCAGACCCCAAGGGTCTAAGTACTAATATGGTAGATACTTTGGGGCCCAAAATACCTACTATATGGGTACTTAGACCCTTTGGGAGAGGGAAGAAGTCTGAAAATTTTGGGGCCAAAGACTCGGTTTTTCACTGGATCCCTCTTCTGTCATGCCCACAGCTTCGTGTTCTTCTAAGGACGGAATCTTCAAGATCTGGCCCTGCTCCAGTTTTTAGTGTTTGGGGTTTCGGGTTTAGGTCCATGGAGCGGAGCTTGGAGGGTTAAGGTCTCAGACCAGCTCGATCGCAGAAAATGGCGATCCAGCTAGCCTCCTGCGGCAACTGTACAAGGAAAGCGGGAACATGAGTCGATCAGGCGACTGCGAAGCTTGGCAGCAACCCTTTTTGATGTCCGAAATGGGAGGCATGTCCAGGTATTCCTTCATTACGAACGCCGGGAGCCCACGAATGGGAATCCCGTTCAGCCACTGTAATCAGAGTGGACAATACCCCGACCAGGTCGAAGTGCTGATGCTGCAGCAACAATACTGGCATCAATCTGTGACTATGATCACAACTGTCAGACTCAGGCCACCATCATCAACATGACCACCCCCGTCATCACTACCAGACCACGACCATCGCAAAGAGCGGTATCAGCACAAGTGTCATCACCACCATCAACGTCGCCATCAGCCTCGTTATCTTTCCCTTCGCAGGAACGAGCATGACCAAGGTCAGCATTGACAGCTTTGCTGAGTTCTGGTGCCCTGACGACGACCCCTCCAACGTAAATGAAGCTTCTGCATGTGGGCTGATCGACGGCAGACCGCCGTTCTGCGAAGGCCAGAGCAGCTCGCAGTGGCCTGCGAGGCCCTCACGTGGCGTGACGCACCTTCGGAATTCTCTTCGAGGCAAACTCGAGTCTGACAATGAGAAAGCCAAGCACTTCCTGGATCTGGTACAATCACATGTTGGCGTCCATCTATGAACTCGGCAATCACACGAAACGGCAGAATTATGCGTCGCATGCCGCACACACTAGAAGCCTCAATCGAAAGCCCCTACAACCCGGGGAGATCAAACCCTGCAACTACAGGCACCACCAATCAAATCAAGATGACCTTCAGCTAGAGTCTCCATTGTAGTTCCTTTTTGGGGATACCTCATGAATTCGTTAATATCTATTTGGTTAAACCAAAAAAAAAAGAACTAATTACTATGGAGACTATAGGCAGGAACCGCACCGTACCGCACCTGGAAGCTGCTCCGAACCTCAGCTCAATTGTAGAGGAAGTCAAGGACGCGAGGCTTGTAGAGGACCCGGCCTCAGTCCCGGAGGTCGGTTGGCAGCCCGGCACACGAGTTTTTGCTTTCGGTATATCGAGCTTTAGGATTCAGGGCGTACGGTCTATGTAGGAGTTTACGGCTTCAAGATGTTCAGGGCTTAGAAACGGTTTAACGGCTTAGGCTTTCAGGGATGGCCCGGGCTCTTTGTCCCTGTAGGGCTTCTTGGAAGATGGGGTATCCACTTGAGGCTCTCTGCACGGGCTGCCAGTCGTGCTGCTGCTTTGCACCATCTTCGAGGTAGTCCTACTCGAAAACCCCACAGGGTAGGAACACGACAACAAAAGCTGCATTCAGGAAGGGGCTTGTATTGCTGCCGTAAAGCGGCACAACAGTCAGAAAGGACGTGCCCCTAATTAAGGCCCACAAAAAGTCAAGTCACACCTGTGCAGCAATAAAATAACCAAAACGCCGCCGGGGCTCAGAAGGCCTGAGTGGGTTGTACGCCTTCTTGACCCGTGAGCATCGAGAAGAGGTCTGCAGCAAAAGTTTGGCAATTGCCTCAGGCTGCGCCAAAGGGTTTAGGGTTTAGGGCTTAGGGTTTAGGGTTTAGGGATCATCTCGCTCCTACTTCTCGTGAGATGTTTACCCAGAAAGTCCTTCTGTGCAGCTACAACGACTGCAAGCAGAATCAGCAACCTACTGGAAGCATGATCTGGGTCCTGGTAACATTAGGAAGGCAGCTTGCCTGCATGAGGAGCTTTACGAACTTTAGGCCTCAATGCGTTTTAGGAACCTTTCCAAGGCTGGAACATGGCATATAACAAACAGACCCTCGTTTAAAAGACATGCTAGGGCTTTTTCAATCAAACTCGCTGCCAAGAGCTTCCAGCATCCGGTGATGCTGCGGAATTCAAGACGTCAGCTTCACCCTTTCACCCCACACTTCAGAAGACCTGCTTGGGCAGTTCTGGTCAGTTGGATACAAGCCATGTTGAGCAAAATCAGATCGTGGACTCGTTCGATCCAAAACGTTCAGCAGCCAATTTGAGCTCCGTTCTTTGTTGACCGCAATGCCCCTAGGCAAGCCAACACCCACTGCAATTTAAT